GGTTTCTCTTCCTCCTGGGTAAATTCCGCATCTACACATGTTCTTTATTATCCAATCAGAGATTCCATCCTGCGTCAAGCATCAAATAGACAGTAAGCACATTACCAATGTGGATACACGTTTGAATCTTTCTCGAGTATCTCAGTAGGTTCATCTTCATCTTCTTCCTCCGAATTACTCAGAGAAACCCGCTTCCAGAAGTTTATAGATAATAAGGGAATATTTATTATTGATTTATTTAAATAGTAATTAAATAGATCAAAGGAGCTCCGCGTCTGGAACAACTGCTTTCTACATTGATAATTTTCGTCGTTTAAACCTTTACGGACCAGGAGTGAACCTGTCCGTCATCAGCTCGAATAGTCACATTACAAGGCCAGCTTACTTTTTGCCCATGAAAAAATCGTTTGGCGCCTCCAGCCCTACCATCGCTAGTGAAATCTTAAGTCTTCCTTTCGTTTGGAGCTTTGTAGCTGCAACTGCGAGCCCCTTCTTGTTCCCCGTGTGGCTTCTGTCTGACTTCTCGGGCAAACGTGAAACAGAAATACAAAACGAGCTACTGCTTCGAGCCGCAGAACTATTGATTTTCGGTTTATTTGATACCCATGATCCTCCCAAAGAAAGACTGAATGAAGCTCCCATAGACGATTGGCTGAACGCTAGAAGCCTAGTAGGCGCCCACGGATACATTATCGTGGAACAAGACAGTTTGAGAATAACATTAAGAGCTGAACTGGAGGTTGGGTCTGTTCAATGGGACCATTCCGTCATGCTTGGAGTACGATTAAAGGCAAACTGTGCTGCAGATTTGGTGCTGTGTCTTGAAGAAAAGCAAGATGATGCTAGTTGGAGAGTTGTATCTGCTTTTGCTGTAGTTGAACTGAAGGTATCACGCGCACAAGAGCCGAAGATCATAAATTCACAAAGTCAAGAGTTATGCCAGTTGCTGTCGTATGTCATGGATCTGGAGATCTTTCCCTGTGTGGAGCGATGTGGGGTGTTTCACGACAGCCGGTCGGTAGTGGCTTGGTTTCCTTTAGGTGAACAAGGAGCAGAGAAAAACGCAAGTTTTGCAGTGGAAGTAGAAGTTCAAGTCCCTGGAATGGCCTCGCCATATCGCGTTCGACCGTCTTCAACGATACTAGGATTGCAGGGAGCTCTAGTTTCAGTCTTTCGAGTATTTGTAACAGGGTTGTGGAAAATCTTTTCTTTCAAGCCAGAATTGGGGTTGCTGTGGAAGAAACAATGCAATGGATATGGAAACATGATTACTCAACATAATTATTCTCTGTGGACGGACAAAGATTTCTTCCCCATGAGATCCATACTCAATCCTGATGCAATTTCTCTCCTCGGAACTTGTTATGAAGGCGTGACTTACAAGGGATCCCCAATGTCTGGATCGCGGCTGACATCTAGCTTGAATCCAACTCAGGCGTGCTTCTACTCCACTCTCAAGAGTCGCCTTAAAGATTTATCAAAGGAGCTCGGCGTTCGCGGGGGCAACTGCCTTCTATTCACCGATGATTTAGCAGATGACCAAGAAGTATTAATGAAAATATGTTCCCCGTGGGTCAGTCATATTGTGCCCAACGTTGGCAGCTATAGCAGGGCATTACATAGTAGTGATCAACGATTCAAGGATCTCATTGGTGCGACTCTATTGCAAATTTGGATTTTAAGTCACAAGATGTGCTGCTATGTCATGAAAGAGACATTGGGAATAACACCAACATTGGACGTGATTCTGGAGAATTATGAACAGTTCTGGGAATTCGTGGGAATCATGATCATTCCAAACAATTTTTGCTACCTGGATTTTCGGACTGATCTCAGGAATTTCAAGTTTCTCAGATCCACTTCACAATTTCTGGTGCTAGATTTGGATTCATTTGGAGAACCGTGTCCTTCGCGGTCGAATGATGGAAGATATCCTTCAATCACGTCTCCAAGGGGTTGCTTTTTGGCCCAAGTTCTTACAGTCCTTTGGTCCCTGGCGCGCGATATAGAGGAGTCTACCATTAGGGAGGATTTTTGGAACAACCCTGCGGGGAATCGATTTGTGGCATTCGAATCATCCTTCTCTCCATTGCTATCAGTATTAGATAAATGGGAAGTCGACAAAGTAGATCCGATGCAGCTGGCAAAATATGTTGGAGCAGTTGTAGCCAAGGTCCTGGATTTCAACTCGAGGTCGAATTTCAACTTGAGTGCTGTTTCGCAGTTAGGGTCTCAAGATTTTGATGAAATTCAACGTGTAAGCTGCTCTTTTCTATTTTTTGCTTGAAGCAGTTTTGTTTTTCAGGTACTTGACCTCCCTGATGTTACTTCCTTTCGATCAAGCAACATCTGACAATTGTAAGCATTTGTTAATATTATTGTGATAGGAGCAGACTTCACAGTATGGTTGAGACGGACATCAAGACGGAAGGAAAGGCTAATAGTCAGCGTCGTCGACGATTGAACAATGGTGTCCGTGTATGCTGTAGCATGAAATCAATTTGAATATATTTTACTTGTCTATCAACTCGGGCGAATACGTTCTTCAGTACAAAGAGAGGAGTGATGATACAACAGCACAGATTAGAGTAAACTATATGGTAGATCGGATGAATACTGGTCACCCTTAACATCAAAACTAGAAATGTATCTTTGAATGATCTCGTTAAAGTTTTCCACGACTCTTCGGGCCTACAGAGTTGACAAATGTCTTGAGTGTTTCCCTCTCCCCCTTCGGTAGGAAAATTCTCTTTTGATGAAGACACTGGCTTCAACACTGTGTTCCTTCTGCAGGAATTGTCTGCTCAAGAACGGCTAGCAACATCTGGTATGGCCAACCACCAGCTTATGATCATCTTCGCGTTTGGGGAAGTCGTCATCCGAATCGACATCAGATTCTTGCAAAATTGGATTTCCCAATTTAGGAGATGAATCAACAGGACTCACACGGTTGAACTCGTTTCCGGAGTAACCGCCGTGCGTTCGGCTATTCCTCGATAATTCGCCGTATTCGTTTCCACAGTAGGAGTTTCTTTGTTTTTTCATTTATTCATCAGAAGTCATCCATGAATTTCGTTGAATATTCACCACTGTATTTATTCAACCCATGAATGCCTCTCTCGTTTATTATTTCCAGCTCTGTGAACGACATTCATTCATAACTGTAAAATGCTGCACACCATCAATTTTTGCAAAGTACAAACACGCATGTTCATCGCGAACAAAAGAAAACTAGAGGACCATCAAAAGTAGAAAGAAAGTACCTAGACATTTTCGGTCAGTATGAACTGAACTGAAAGCCCTCTACTCAAACTGAAAAAAACAATGAAAATTGAGAGAGTACTCTGCAAGGTATTCGTCACAACTATGAGACTCAAGCATCGATTGAACCAGCTGAGTGGATGCCTACCATCGGACGTAATGATAAATGAAATCCCCCATAACGATAAGTTGGACGATCTACAAATACCATGGAATAGAAATATTAGTGGATTTAGTTGCGTACCTGCATTCCCATCACCCAAAGTCCGACGTATGACTTCAGCTGTAAAAAAAAAAGAAGGAAATGGTCGAATCACCGTGACTTAACATCCATCTGAATGTCACTTTTATTAACGAATGGATGAAAGTGAGCCACAAAGACTTACAACTTTCGATGGGTCGTTGAGTTCTCCATAAGTTGAAACCCAAAATAGGAAGGACATTACTTTGGACAGCGCTTGAGCCGCTAGAAAATGAGTCGTGAATGGCTCGACTTTCCCCTGATCAATAGAAATTAGAAAGCTGAAAAATCTAATTCAAGACGAAGCTGAAAAATCTAGACGAACCTCTTTTTGGAACATGAACAGCTGAGGTAGACAACTAAACGCTTCTAGATATAACGCGAAAGTCCATGCAATCTACAACATCAAGGAAATAAAAAAAAGGCAAGAAAAGCTGGCTCACGTCAGCTGGCATGAAGGCATTCAAGGATGGATGAAAGAGAAGGGCAAGTATGGAAGCGGGGATCAAGAGGAACAACTGGTTCAGAGTGTCAGATGATGCTTCGTATGTCTCTTTATACCGAACACGACACAGATAGACAATTGTTCCAGCCAGACAGAACGATAAAGCCTCAGTAACTTGATACAACCAGTCGCCAGTCCGATCGTATGGCAAATACCTAAAAAAAGAAATTCATCCATCCGAAAATTCAAGACGATAAATTTGATGACGAGCAGTGATAAATATAAAATATTCTAAAATAAGTGGATTTTGGAATATTTATCTTTTTAAGGAGATCTACCCTTCGAATGGAATAATTGAGCACAAACGAGCGAATAGGAGAATGACATAGCATTCAATCATCTTGAGGGAGACACCGGCACAAGATTTGGTGCTTTCTATTTTGTATGCGATCATCAGGAAGCTGAAGAGTCCAATGATTGAAGACAATGTTAACAGAAATGAGTAATCTCCATCCGAGAAGATAAAGAAAATGAACAAAACGGCCGCAAGGAAAGCAGTCCATGCCTTGATGCTTCCCCCATGTTGATTCACCCACAACTTGAATTTCTCTTTGTCGCCAATAGCTCTTCTAAAGTCTTGCATGTTTCGATGAAGTACGAACAAAATGAGAAGATGACAAATGAGTGAGATTTATGCTCACAGACTGGGTAACGTTGGAAATCTGCCGTAGGTAAACAGGTCCAATCGAAGGGCCTTGGTGGTCTACACATGCTGGATAGGTCTGATCTAATTAATTCGTTATAATGTTGTATTTCTGTGCACGTTCTCCTCAAGGACAATGTCTGTTGCAACGTGAACGGGGTAGTGGAATAACAGAGAAGCGGTGTAACAGACGCAGCCCGAGTAGTACGCATGTCAGCGCCCCAGAGCAGACCAGACATGTTTCTCAGAGACGATTAAACAACAACTTTGCTCACAAGTTGATAGCTCAAAGTTGATAGTCCCTCCAGTAACGGTACGTCAGTACCTGCCCATCAGAGGTCCTGTTCAAGATGTTCTCTGCTGTGATGATTTTCGTCCTTTTTCGGGTGGTTTCCTCAAATGAAGAACAAGGGTTGGATTTTATCCGAACACGTAATCACTCAAGCGACGTAGAACCGTCAAAGAGTCTGCGTTCTAAAAAGTTTTTATCGTCCAGAGTGATTGCTCCTCACAACAACGTCATCCTTTCCGATATTGGACCTCCCAGATTGATTTCTGGTCAGAACGTCACCATTTCCGATACTGGACCGCTTTGCAGGGCGTATGTACCATTTTGGGATCGTGTGCCGCTTTCCAACATCGTAGCAGAGAAGATTTTGGCAGGACTTTCTAATCAATTGTTTCGAGTCAGTGTGAGCGAAGATTTTCCTACCAGATCAAAGCTAAGATATCCAGATGTTCTTCTGCGAGTTTATGGCGCTGGTGCATTTTATAAGAGAGAGGCTGAAGTGAAGATTTTCAATGAACTAGGACGTCGACAAATCTCACCCAAGTTGATCGCCGAGTTTGAGGTACTCAAAGTCTCCTGGCGTTATTGACTCTTTTCCTCAGGGCGGACGTATCGAGGAATGGGTCCGGGGAAAAGCTTTGGAACCAAGCCAAATGAAAAATGAGACAATTATGGCATCCGTTGCAGAAGCCCTTGCGGAAGTTCATGCCCTTGATCTCAGCGATTCTATTGATTCAACTTCAACGATTGATCGATTTCTGGACAAGTGGAGTGAAAAAGCAATAAAAGTCTACAACAATAGTGAGTCGTTTTAATGTCGCTTTGTCTTTCTGCTTCAAGCTCATTCATGATGAATAGGATGCGAAAATTATGGGCGTCTCTTTGTCTTTTTAGCAACACCAGCTGATCCAAACTATAAAGCCCTACAAAACCTAAATCTGTCGAGTTTGGTTGAAGAATTGAAAAAGTTGCAAAGCTTTCTCCCCCATGGCTCATCAGTTGTGACCGATTTGGCTTTCTCGCATAATGACGTACAAGTAAATTATTTCAATGCTTTGTTTGGTTTTCATCTTTTTTTTTCAGGAAAAATAATATCATGGTCACTGCCGAAGGTGTTCGTCTCATCGACTTCGAATACTCCGGTTATGGTTATCCCGCCTTCGACATTGCTTCATATTTTTGGGAGACCACTTGCGACTACAATGTCAAGAGTAAGACTCCGCCATAATACTGTTATTTTCTCCATCGCTGAATCTGCAGCTTATCCATTCTTCCGTATTGAGTCCAAACACTTTCCCACCATCGCACAACGTCGATTTTTCCTTTCCAAATATCTGACAAAGCGCTTGAAGAAAGAAATTCCCGCCGATGCAGAAGAGGTCTCCTCCGCAATTTCTGCAGTAGAGCGCTTCGAGTTGGCAACTCATCTTCTGTGGGCTTTTTGGAGTGTTCTTAGAGCCTCTCCTTCCCCCAGTCCAGATGAATTCGATATGCTGGCGTATGCGCAGACGAGGTAAGGATTTTGGGACACCAGAGTTGGATGTCACTAGGTCGACTGTATTCTGATGCAGAGCTCATTCGTATTGGCGTCAGAAGGCTCGAATCTTTGGATATTAATTCTTTTTCATTGTTTTACGATCCGAAGTTCCAATATTTAATAATATTACAGAACATCGGAAAGTTTTAAAATTTTCAGTGTGTCCTCTTTTCAGTTGTCATTGATGTAGTCGTCTTCTTTCTCTTTCTGTAGTTTTCTTATAATGAATAGCATGAGCTCACATGAGAGAGCGGTAGAATATCTCATCTGAAAAAATGTTGAACACCATTACCATCGAAGGCGACGGAAGGGTTGCAGAGATACCAATATTCAAGAATGTAGCAATGACGATACTACATAACATTCCAGGACCTCAAAACTCGCAACAAGGAAGTTGAGGGTTGTGTGAGTACGAATGATTTACACAGGATCATAGGCGAGTTGGAAATCGACATCCTGACATTCTTGCTTGAATGAGAATGAGTAGATCCTTCTGCAGCATTCATTGCCTGACTCGATATCGTTTCATTAATGTCCAACTTCATGTAATAATCTCACATTGCTTGGGGTGGGAAAAACCGGATTCGACGAGAACCTTTTGTGTTGAATCGTGATGAGAAACAGAATTCGATTCAGTTGCCATGTCTCTCGACAAATAGGTGACAGATTGCGTCACGCGGAAACTCGGGCACTCTAAAAGATAAATCGAAGCGTTTTAGTGCTTGTGACCAGCTTTTCATCAAAGAGATCTGAACCAGAATGTTTACGAGACGAAGAGACAAATTGAAGGACAACAATGAAGTAAATCAATATTCTAGGGACTCGATTTAGACGATCTACTAACTGATTGAACAGAAACTGATTACAGTAGCCACTCAACTACATAGTTGCCTGCAGAAGCTGAGAGTTATAGCTATTCAAACTACATCTATGTAATCATTTGGATTGAATGGCCATATGTATATACGCTCTGCTGTATGCTACTTACTCCCCAAATCATCTTCACAGCCAAAGTAGTCATGATCTCACTCAGTTTCAATTCCTGTTGCTATAGCGAGTCCAACGATACTGTATGTTTCATTTTGCTTCTCTCCATGTGGAGATCTGTCAAATACAAGGATGTGATGACCCCTCGCCAATTCCAGGTTACATAGTTGACGTTTCGCTTGGTCCCTCCGTTTTCACCCCGTAGAATCATGTGCCCCAAAGGTGAGGTAATTCCCACGACCTGATGATGAAAACTCTTCATAGATGGAAATCATCAGGGAATGGGGAAAATCTGGAAAGCAAGAAAGGTAAACGCTCTGACCTTAGAAGGGAAGTGAACAAGGCGTCAACGATATAACCTGAAATCATAACACCCTTGCGTCCGATTAAATTCTTGGGAGAAGAAGGCTTCTCCAATTCGGGCTTCGAAGTTTTTAGTGCCATTTCAGGTTTTACAACGATCTTCCGACGTCGCAATAAAATTTCCTACGAATACAAACTACTCACATTGAGAGTGAACCATAGAATTGTTCAATTGAAGACCCACACTGGAATCTCGCAATAATGTGAATGGACAGCGTTCACGTTCTTCCCCATGCAACACGAATACCATCTGTCACTGAGCATTGAGTTTCTAGCAGTTGAGAGAGTTGTCATATTCCAGTCACTATTAAAACAACTCGAATCACACATTTTATCCATCGGAACAACGTTTTCAAAGAATATTATCCTCTTCATCTTCATCAGATGTAGGATCCATTTGCAAAACCTCTTCTTGAAGAAACGCCTTTGCTGCGCCTAAAAGCTTTTTGTTTTGTCTAGTTGCTTCTAGAGATTTGTGTCAATGAATTGTGAAATCGTTTTCTTCCATTTCAATCCGAACACCTTGACCTTCATCCAACTTGCACCGACCTCTCCGTAGCGTGAATGTCAAAAGTTCATCCTCTTTAATCCTTTGAATGGGTCTGCAATACGCGATCACCATAAGATGAAACGTTCCAGATTTATACTTCCTAGCAACATGACCACATGCTTGCTTTAATGCTGCCTCATCAGTAACATCAGCCACTACTGTACTCCAGCCGGTCTGGCTTGAGCCTGAAAAACGAGGAGAATCAGCTATTTACCACACTACAACGAATCATCTCTCACCATCAACTTTCTTAAACGCAACACCATCCGCCCACATGTTATCCCCATAACCGAAGTAAACGACTTTAGCCATCGGAACAAGAAATCTATCAACATAACTTTCTGGTTTTGATCAATCTTTATTTCGTGTAGTTTCTATCAAGTTGATACCTCTGTCAGTAATCGCGTCAAACTCTTCATTGACAATGTCGAAGAGGTTTTCTCGTAGAAGAGACGCGCTCTCATTCTTTCTCGCAACATTTTCTTCTTAATTTGCTCCCTCATCTAACAAAAAAACAAAATACACTTAAATATGTGATACTTCATTCTAAAGTTCACTCAAGCACCACTTACGTCTTGCATATCGCCGATCAAAATCCTTGCCGCCAATGGAATGCAGTCCTCCACCGTTACCAACATATCACCTGAAAACCTAAAACCACTGCAATGTTTAGGAGGGCAAAGTCTTGGAACGAGGAACTTTAGGAGTGAAGTCTTTCGCTTTGCTCAATCCACCATAAGCGGTCCAGTTGTCCAGATTGGAAAAATCTAAATGACAGAATGAGAGGATTACAAATTGGCGTTTGAAATTGTTCCTGACTAATCCAGGCTACTGAAGAGGGGGACAATTCACAAAGACGCTCATTTACACCGAGATTTATCAACAATTTACACCGAGTGAGATTAGTCAACCTGATCAACAATTTAATCACAATTTACTGAGATTACTCAGCAATGTACACTGAGTGAGATTAATCGCCCAATAAGATCTCTAAAATTTTTCGGAATACTTGCATCTGCATTTTGAAGAACTCTTGCTTGGATGAATTGATTGTTGTGAATGAATTGGTGCTTCTATCAATTGATTGATTTGAGGAGTCAATGTGCACTAGATTCATTGAGATCAATAGCCAAGACATTCGAAGAGGAAAATACGCTGGGGGTCATCAGCAGCTACGTACTTAGAACGAAGTCTGGTTGAGGTCTCTATTAATTTACTGCGGAGAAGATAGTTGGTGTTGATACTCCTTCAGAATAGATACTCCTTCAGAATAGATACTTCAGAATATAACGGTATAGAGAAAATATTCTTTAGATATTGGGCCATTTGTAGAATATAGAGAGCTGCAAGGGCTTCTCCTATTTGGCTTCATGGCAAGAGAGAAAACAAGATTCTGAGCCAAAAGAGCTCAAAACCGTCGAGAGTGTGCCTGAAGCCAGTCAAATTTCAGTTAATTCATCTTTTGTTAAATTCCCCAATTTATTGTTGCCCATGGTCTCAGAAAACCGTATAACATTTGGAAAGTTGCTTCCTGAATGGTGCCCAAGACCGACTGCGACAACAGTGATGTCGAATTATTATAATGCAAAGACTGCCATGAACAACCTTGGTGTTGTAATACGTGACTTCGTACTCAGCAAATTGTGGTCCCTGAAGACAAAGCTCTCCGCCATCAAGAATTGTTCGTCGAAGCTTTCTGTAAAGAACGTCAGACAGACGTGCAAAATTCCTGAGTTGAAGTATTGGTTCATGTATTGAGACGATGGATAGACTTGCTTCTAACATTTGACGTTCCAACGCTTCAGGTTCCCCGACCTCGAGTAGAAGTGCCAACCGACGATGAAACGATCTGGAAATTCGAAAATATGAAATGCACTTTACGGAAAGAAGTGGAAGTTGAACAGCTTCGATTTCGTGGTGGAGCATCAAAGCGTCGATTCACCGGTGGAACAGAAACTGGAATAAGCCGCTCTGACATTACTGGAAGTTTTGGACGACTACGAGTGGAATATCTTCGCCGTTTTCTCAATCGTGGAACTCAAGTTATTGAACAACTTTGAAGGAGAGGTGAATTTGTCCGACCTCGCGGAAAAGCCTACTGTGCTTTACCAATGTCTCACCTATGCCGTGGAAATGGAATACCCATCAAGAG